CGTCTATTTCTTTGAATATCGAATCCCAAATATGATATCCCTCTTGATATAGATCGTCAAAATCTAATCCCTATTGATTAGAATGATTATAATATTATTATTTTTGATGATTCATATCTTTCTAGATACTATATCATTGAATCATCGATCCAATATCATCAATTATGAATTGAGATATCATCGTAGAATCGTGAGCAATATGAATCATGAAATTATATGAAGATTGGAGGCATAGAGGGATCGGGATGATGAGGATATTAAATGACCGATATTCGGATATCGTTGATAAATTTTGGGGGAATCGTAAAAGGAAGATTATAATTATTGGAGAATGCTATGAAATATTTGATTCCCGATTGAAGAGACGAATAGGGGATTCTCGAAGGGTTTATTTGAATAGATTGGCATCCGATTTGTAAAGGGGATTCTATGAAGCTCTCAATATCCTTCAATATTCATTTCTGGGCTTTAGATTTCTGAGCAGATTGAAATTAAAAAAGAAATATTCGGACTTTTTTTGTTTTCTTGATATCGTCTTATTATACTATTAATATCGTCGTGATCTCGACGATTATCATTCATATCCCTATATACTTGATATTTTGAAGAATGGATGAAGATTTGCCTTCTACCTATAACTAATATTTATTGGAATTGGATTGGACTTCAGATCTTGAGCTCGAACACATATTTGCATATCTTTATGAATTTAATATCTTCCATCATGAATTCGATTTTATTTCGTATCAAATTTCTTCGTATTCACGACGAAATATCGGACGAGCTCAGAACGTCAATGCACAAGACGGGCTCAGAAGTGCCTATATATGATTGGACAAGTCAATATGATAAAGATTTCATATCCCAAAATCTTTTCGATCATTTTTTTAAGATATGTTCCCGAGATGTATTTTGCCATATAGGCCCGTAAAGATTACATAAAATCTTGAATATATTCAATTAGTCTTGGACCTCAATCAAGATTGAAATATATGAGAGATATCAATATAAAAATCAACAATGAGGGAACGATATGAAATCTATGATATATATATAACCCAACTAGAAGAGGGATGGCCCGAAAGTATCGATTTGTCGTGCGTTGACTCCATGCACTTGACTCCTTGCACTCGAATTGTATGCACTTGGACAAGTGTATGCACTTATATGGTTGCATACTCATTTGTATACTGCATTGGTATACTGGACTACTTGGACGTGTATGCACTTGAACTGCATGGCATTCAAGTGTGTGTTGAGTTGAATGCCATGCACTTGTGGTCAACTCTATGCACTTCATTGGAATTCTCTACATATGAGGTTTACGGACTTGAATTCGACACTGTTGAACTCTATGCACTTGAGCAAGTGCATTCGACCAGAACTGTCCAAGAGGCTGATATGCACTTGAACTGAATGCACTTGGACAACTGTATGCACTTATATGGTTCTAGACTCTGTGCACTGCACTTCTATGCACTTCCACTGCATGGCATTCACATTCGAGCCCCACGATATTTCCCAGGTTTTCGACGCCCCGGAATTTGGCGAGGTTTTCGAGGCCCCGGAATTCGAGTCCCACGATATTTGCGAGGGTTTCGACATCCCGGAATTCGAGTCCCACGCTATTTGCGTGGTTTTCGACGGCTGTCGAGTCCCACGATATTTGCGATGGTTTCGACATCCCGGAATTCGAGTCCCACGATAGTTGCGAGGATTTCGAGACCCCGGCATTCTAGTCCCACGAAATTTTGCGAGGTTTTCGAGGAATTCGAGTTCTACGATATTTGCGATGGTTTCGATATTCCGCAATTCGAGTCCCACGATATTTGCAAGTTTTTCGAGGCCCCGGAATTCGAGTCCCGCGATATTTGGGAGGGTTTCGACATCCCGGAAATCGAGTCCCACGATATTTGCGAGATTTTCGACGAGAAAAGACAAAAACATCCCCGTGTCTTCACGTGCGCGGAAGTCCGTTACCATGCTATTTGCGGTGTTTTCAAGCGCCCAGATGTCCGTTTTCATGCTATTTGCGGTGTTTTCAAGCACCCAGATGTCCGTTACCATGCTATTCTCCACGTGTCCGCGGCGTACTACGTCTGTACTACGAAAGTCGACTTTCCAGCTACAGAAGTTCCGCGTGTCCGCGGCGTACTACATCTGTACTACAAAATCGACTTTCCAGCCACGGAAGCTCCGTGTGTCCGCGGCGTACTACGTCTGTACTACAAAAGTCGACTTTCCAGCCACGCCAGCTCCGGGCGTCCCCGGCGTACTAGATTTGTACCAACAAAGTCGACTTTCCAGCCACGGCAGTCCCCGGCGTACTACGTCTGTACTACAAGAGTCAAAAAAACCAGCCACGGCAATCCCCGGCGTACTACGTCTGTACTACTAAAGTCGTAAAAAAACAACCACGGAAGTCCCCGGCGTACTACCACATCTGTATTACAAAAGTCGAAAAAACGCAAAAACACGACGGTTTTGGCACCGCGACCACGCGAAAGCCCGCAGAGGGGTTACATTTGTATATCAAGAAACGCACAAACACGACGGTTCTGGGACCGCGCCAGCGCCGAAACCCGCAGAGGGATTACGTTTGTATGTCAAAAAATGCAAAAACACGACAGTTTTGGCACCGCGCCAACGCCGAAACCCGCAGAGGGTGTCTGCGCGCGCGAAAAAAAGTACCAAACACGACGATTTTAGCGCCGCTACTCGGCGATCACCCACAGAGGGCTGTCCGCAGACAGAAAGAAATGTAAAAAAAAAACCGACGGTTTTAGCGCCGCGACCCGGCGATCACCCGCAGAGGGTTGTCCACGGACAGAAAGAAAAATAAAAAAACGACGGTTTTAGCACCACGACCATGGTGAAACCCGCAGAGGGTTGTCCGCGTACAGAAAGAAACGTAAAAAAAACGACGGTTTTAGCACCACGACCACGCCGAAACCCGTAGAGGGGAGCAATCCAGATTGGCGATGTCAACCCAACCCGCCGCCTTAGAAAGAATAATTTTAGTCAAGAAATCTAGGACTGGATACGAAGGTCTACTAAATTCTATATAAATCTCGTAATTTCTATTAATTTGAATTAAATTCTATACAATTCACTCTATGCACAATGCACTCTATACACTTGACACTATGCACTTTATACTATACAATTCACTCTATACACTTGATTCTATACACTTAACTCTATACACTTCACTCTATGCACTTGATTCTATACACTTCACTCTGTGTTTCATTCTATATACTTCACTCTATGCACTTCATTCTATACACTTCATTATGCACTTCACTATACATTTCATTCTGTGCACTTGACTCTATACACTTCATTCTATACACTTCACTATATACTTCATTCGATATACTTGACTCTATGCACTTCACTCTATACACTTCAATCTATAATGATGAATCAGAGGGCTCCATATGGAAGAACCCTTCGCGATACTTTCGGAAAATTTCCAGATTAAATTTGAAAAAAATTGATATTCTCCATGATATGAACAGGAAATATTTTCGATGAAAAAGAAATAAACAAAAATTATTCTGAACATATTTTCCCGAAATATTTTTTAGAATGTTTATTCTACTTTTTTAGATATTCTATTCATTGATCCGAGACAATAACCCAATAAGAACCAGAGACCAGAAATCAGAGATCCCAAATCCAAATTCAGAGACCAGAAACCAGAGATCCCAAATCCAAGTTCAGAGACCAGAAGGCAGAGACCCCAAATCCAAGTTCGGAGACCAGAAGGCAGGGACCCCAAATCCAAATTCAGAGACCAGAAGGCAGAGACCCCAAATCCAAATTCAGAGACCAGAAAACAGAGACCCCAAATCCAAGTTCAGAGACCAGAAGACAGAGACCCCAAATCCAAGTTCAGAGATTAGAAAGAAGAGATCCCAAATCCAAGTTCAGAGACCAGAAGGCAGAGACCCCAAATCCAAATTCAGAGATCAGAAGGCAGGGACCCCAAATCCAAGTTCAGAGACCAGAAGACAGAGATCCCAAATCCAAATTCAGAGATCAGAAGGCAGAGACCCCAAACCCAAATTCAAAAGATTAGAAGAAAGAGATCCCAAATCCAAACTCAAAAGCCAGAAAGTAAAGATCCCAAATCCGACCTCAAAGGGCAGATAAGAACCAGAAACGAGAAGATAGAGATCCCAAATCCGAATCCTAAGACCAAATAAGAATCAGAGTCCAGAAAACAGAGATCATAAATCCAAAATCAAAGGCCAAATCAAAATCAGAGACCAGAAAATAAAGATCACAAATCCAAAATCAAAGGCCAAATCAAAATCAAGAATCAAAAATCAAAAAACAGAAATCATAAATCCGAATCCAAAGACCAAATAATAACCGGAGACAAGAAGATAACCAATATAATCCAGATAGTCCCAATCGTAATTTCGGCCACGAATCCAAATACGAACCAGACCCAGAACAAATCCATTATACGAAACGAACCAGACACGAACCGAACACGAAACAGACACGAACCGAACACGAACCAGACACGAACCAAACACGAACCAGACACGAAAACCAAACATCAACGCAGACAAGATCCCAAAATCCAAACCAGACACGAACCCAGACACAAACCGAACACGAACCAGACACGAACCAGACACGAACCAAACACGAACCGGACACGAATCGGAATAAAAAAAGATCATCACTCTTATTTCTTGCCAAATTCTATAAAATCTTATTTTTATATGAAAATTCATTATATGATGTGAATAAAATAAAGAATAACTCAAGAAATATTCATATTTAATATATAATAAGGTATCGATATTCAGATTATTTTTCTCCTATATTTAATTATAAGAATAAACCGAGATCATAGCTCTGGACAGTTTTTCTCAAAGCGTTGCCTTAGGCAATCCATGTGGCTTTGCGAAAGCTGGAGACAAGTAGTATGGCCCCCCTTGCAGTTGTCTGGCCACGACGTCATGAGATAAACGCATCTAACCGCCGCGGCGAAACAACAAAATGGTATTGGATATCTTCAAGATTTCCGCTACAGGATCTTGTGCTTGCACTGGTAGGCTCTGGAACGTGCCGCTTGCTTGGAACATCACTGCCTTCAGCATGTAATCATCCTGAATCGCTTCTGCAGGCACTCCAAAACTTGCAAACAGAAGCGCCAGCTGCGATCCCAGTGACGCCTGCGTGTCCAGCACACGAATGGTGTTGATAGGATCCAGGCTTCCGAGCACTGGTTGCGCGGCTTCGTTGCACTTGTAGATGATGCGCACATTCAAAGTTGACCCTTCCTCGATGTCGTCCTGGGTATGAGCAATTGCCCTAGGGATCTGCTGGTCCTCGGGAACCGGCTGAAAAGGGTCCATAAAGTGCAAGTCATACATAACCACCTCATCAGGCTCGCTACTTGCACGATCTTCCAGCTCCTGTCAACATGCCAAGAACCACAGAAAAATACAACCCTCAGGTCCTTGAAATTAGGGCTCTGCGCAGCATGCTCTCCTGGTCTTCTGGGTCCAGAGCTGATCCGGGCGCTTGCGACCTGGACCATGTCTTCGGCCACGACCACGGGCCCGAGGCCCGGCTTCACTTCGACCAGTGCGCGGCCTACCCCGGCCCCGGGGCTTGCCGCCGCCCGGCGGCCTGCCAAGCGGCCGGCCGCTGGAAGGCTTCAGTTGCGACAGTGGCTGGCGGTATGCGCGCTGTAGACTTTTCATTCAAGTAGAGACTGTGTTCCGCGCATGAGCACAGACAAAAGTCCTTGTGGGTTTCTTCAAAGGCCCAGCTTTCACAAACAAGACTGTGTACTCTTTCAGGAGGTTGTGCAGGATTTTCGGATGAAAAGAGCCACCAGCGTCGTACACTGACAGGTCCTGGAGGCCTTGTCGCACCTTCGCTTCGACAGCAGATGTAATCACCCAGGCGAGAGCGCGCGTCCGCTCCTCATTGTAGGAGGCGGGCTCATACTTGCAGTAAACATACACAGTGCCAATGTCAGTCTCCACCTCCGTGCCGACAGGAACTTTTGCCTCTTCCAGTCTCTCCAATCCTTTTGCCGTGAAACGACGCACTTTCTTTCCGCCGGAGTTGTAAGCCGTCGTGTTTGCTCCAGCAATGCCCAGAAGCCGTGCTGTCCACAACTGTTCTTTCTGCAACAGTAGCTCGCTCCAAACATCTTCATTCCAAAAGATCTTCGTGCAACACCTAGATGAAAGGTTCCACTTCGGAGTTTTGGGTTTCCTTTTGAGGATTTTGGGTTTAGTGCTTCAGGTTGAGCCTGCCGGGTTCTCGATTTCGGATTTAGGGTTCAAGGTTTACGCTTTACCCGGAACCCTAAACCCCTGACAGAGAATACCTATTGGACAAGTGGCTCATAAGTTTTGAAGAGGTCACAAAGCTCATGTTCCCCTCCTCGGCCACCATTTGGTCAATGACCGACCAGAAAGAGTCGAGTGCGTTGAGGCTGTACCCCTTGCCGCGCCAGGGAGCATCCCACAATCCTGAAGACGAGGTGAAGTGTTCGTTTTGAAGGTACGATAAGAAGGTTTCCTCCTTGTGCTTCCTGAGGATATAAAAATCTCGATCCAGTACATGTGGAACAGCATGTCCGACGAGATCCGTGCTGAAAAATCGAGCCATGTGCGAACGCTGCTGACAAAGTTCCACTTATGAAGTTTGTCTTTCTCTTTGGCGATGTTCCGTTTCACGTGCTCTCTTGTCTTCGCCGAGGTGATCACGCGCGGCTTTGAGCAGCGCGGGGCCGCCGTCCATGTGAAGTTGGGCTTGCCCATGTGTGAACAGATTGGCGATGCTGGGCAGAGACTCTGACTCCAGGAAGGCATCCGTGTCTTGCAAAAGCTGCTGGACGTGCTCAGCCTTCTCCGTAGGCGCCACTGCGAAGGACACCGGAACAAATGTCATCGCCAAGTCCAATGTGGGTTCAGGGTTTAGAGTTTATAGGTCTACGCCTTCCTTAAGCCTGAGGGTCGAGGGTTGGCTTTTCTTATGTTTCCTTGCTTCGCTGTGGGATTTGGCAACATGTTTGGCACGTTTCTTTCTTTTGAAATTTATTTGTCACTTTCCGACAGTTCCTAAACCCCCTTGAAACCCTATTTCGAGATTGGATTTCCAATATTCATGCTTTTCTTCTGTTTGCTTGTTTCGCTGTCGGGTTTTTTTCAACATTTTTGGCACGTTTCGTTCTTTGAGATCCATTTCTCACTTTGAGACAGTTCCTGAACCCCCTTGAAACCTTATTTCAAGATTGTATTTTCAATATTCATGCTTTTCTTATATTTGCTTGTTTCGCTTTGGGAATTTCCAACAGTTTTAGCACGTTTCGTTCTTGCAGGTCCATTTGTCACTTTCAGACAGTTCCTAAACCCCCTTGAAACCCTATTTCAAGACTGCATTTCCAATATTCATGCTTTTCTTATTTTTGCTTGTTTGGCTGTGGGTTTTTCAACATTTCTGGCACGTTTCGTTCTTTGAGATCCATGTCTCACTTTGAAACAGTTCCTAAACCCGCTTGAAACCCTATTTCAAGACTGCATTTTCAATATTCATGCTTGTCTTCTGTTTGCTTGTTTCGCTGTGGGAATTTCCAACATTTTGGGCACGTTTCCTTCTTTCAGATCTATTTGTCACTTTCAGACACTTCCTAAACCCCCTTGAAACCCTATTTCGAGATTGGATTTTCAATATTCATGCTTGTCTTCTGTTTGCTTGTTTCGCTGTGGGAATTTCCAACATGTTCGGCACGTTTCGTTGTCTTAAAATTGAAACCATCATCCCAAAAAACATCGTGCAAATACAAAACACAACAACTTCCACAGCTGCCAAGCCGCCGAACGGGCCGGGGCGCACGCTTCGAAGAAAGAGCCCACTCCAGGAAGAGGAGACAGGCGAGACGGGCGAGACACCTGAGACAAAAAGGAGACTAAGAGCCAATATGTCTCAGGAGGGTCTCGGGTGTCTCATGCTCGCTCTTTCAGCGTTTTTAGCCTGAAAGAATACCTGAGGCAACATGACAACATGAGACTGTTCTGAGACATCCGTAGTCTAGTTATCCTCTGTCTCATCTGGGTGGGTGTCTCAACTCCGATGGCCGAGCCCCCTGCCGAATAAGCTAATTGGAGCGCCGAGCCTGGGCCGACGAAAGAAATGGTTGTTCCGGAGAGGGCTTCATGACTTCAGCACTGCAAGCCCGACGCACCTACCGGGCCTACCTGCACTCTAAGACATGCCTACCACTTACAAAAACTGACTCCGCACTCTGAGGGCCCCGGCCGAGTGAGGTGCAGCTCCCAACTCCCCCAACTCCCCCTACCGTGCTGTGCTGCCTGCTGCTGCGACACTGCCGTCTGCTGCTACTGCACTGCTGTCTGCTCCGCAGCTGTCTGCTACACTTCTGTCTGCTACACTGCTGTCAGCTGCTCCACTGCTGTCTGCTCCATTGTTGTCTGCTACACTGCTGTCAGCTGCTCCATTGCTGTCTGCTCCATTGTTGTCTGCTACACTGCTGCCAGCTGCAATACTGCTGCCTGCTACACTGCTGTCAGCTACACTGCTGACAGCTGCTACACTGCTGTCTGTTGCAGGCCGGTCGGCTTCTACGTGAACCGCGAACCGCGAGCGAGGGACATACATTTCAGAGCAGGGTCGCGGGGAGGAAGACACGTGGGTTAAGACTCTCTGGCTCTTATTGGGCCTTTGACCTCGGAATTGTGATCTCTCCCTTCTGGTCTCTGGCTCCTATTTGGCCTTTGACCTCTGAAACACCGGGGGGGGGGGGGGCCGGGGGGGGGGGGGGGGCTCCGCCCCCTGTTCTGAAAATTTTTTTCAACAAAAATATTTTCAGAACCATTTTTATCCCATTTCAGGGATGATGGAGGATATCGAGGCCCACGGCATATAACAAAAGCTCACCATCATCCCCAATTCTCGGCAGAATTCAATTTTCAAATCAACCAAATACAAATGAGAATCGAAAACTATTCGTCATCAATGAAATATACAAATTCAACGTCCCAATCAGAATTCATTCCCATCATTCCATGAAAATATTTCCGATAGAGAAGATATCCTGATAAATCATATATAAATCGAGATATCGTAAAAAAAGAAATATATAGAAATACTTATAGAAATATTTTTTACCCCATCGGGGCCAGCGACGTATCCGCACTGGAGTGTTCGATGAACCTAAATTGCTGCCTGCAAGCCTCATTATAAATCGAACTTCAACCATCCAAGACACTCACATAATGAATCCCCACCACCTTTTTCTTGAGACGATTTACGACTAAGGAACAAGAATTATTCAAGAACGCATAACCTCCTTTCTCGAATCCTCCTATATTCTCGAATACGAGGGATTTATATCGAAGATTCATAATCTTATATTTATTAATCAAGAACTGACATTAATATTTTCATTCCATATATCTTATAATACTAGACAATACGTTGGCCATAGGTAGATCTATCCTATTCGATATAGAATCTAGATGTAATTAGGTAGGGGGTTAGGTGGCAGAAATGACCCCCTATTTTTGAAATTTAGATTGGGATTTAGGATTAGGATTTAGGATTTAGGGTTCAAGGCCCTCTCTGGGGCCTTTAGGAGTTAGTACTAGGATTTAAGATGAGGATTCTGGATTGGTGGGGTCTTTCGGGATTAATATTAGGATTCAGGATTAGGATGTAGGATTTAAGATTCAAAATTAGGAGTTAAGATTAGGATTTAGGATTTATGGGGCCTTTAGGAGTTAGGACTAGGAGCTAGGAGTCGGATTTAGGATTAGGAATTAGGATTTAGGGTTCAGGGCCCTCGCTGGGGCCTGTATATAAGAGTTAGGATGAGGATTTAGCATTAGGATGTTGGATTTGGATTTCGATTGAGGGTTTAGGATTTCGGATTTAGGATTAGGGTTTAGGATTTAGGGCCCTCTCTGGGGCCTTTAGGAGTTAGGATTAGGATTTAGGATTGGGATTGAGGATGAGGTTTTAGGATTAAGATTTAGAACTTACTTTCGGATTTAGGATTAGGAGTTAGGATTAGGATTTAGGATTCCAGGCCCTCTCTGGTGCCTTTAGGAGTTAGGAGTAGGACTTAGGATTTCTCGCAGAGGGTTAGAGTTTAGGATTTCGGATCCTTGAATCCTTGCATCTGCAGGAGGCCGGGCCCTAAGCTTTTGGATGGGGTTTAGGGTTTAGGGTTTAGGGTTTAGGGTTTAGGGTTTAGGGTTTAGGGTTTAGGGTTTAGGGTTTAGGGTTTAGGGTTTAGGGTTTAGGGTTTAGGGTTCAGGGTTTAGGGTTTAGGGTTTGCTGTATAGGGCGTAGATGCTGTGAAGGTTAGGATGCAGCAGCGGCTCGAATGCCTCGTCAGGTGCGAAGAGCAGCTCTGGCCCGCTCCGGGTTTAGGGTAATGACCTTAAGGGACCAGTACTGGTCCTGGGAGAACGTGCTCCGGTACCGGGCCCATCGTGGGTGCTACCGACCTCCGAGCTGTTGGAGGCGGGCGAACGACCTGGGTCGGCTTGCGCCATAGAGGTCGAAGGGCTTAAGCGCCGCCCCCTTTCTGTAGGGGGGCGGCCTACGCCCTGAGTTTAGGGTTTAGGGTTTAGGGTTTAGGGTTTAGGGTTTAGGGTTTAGATGGCGAAACCTATACAGGAAAGCGACAGCCCAACAACTATATCAAAACCCTAAACCCGCCAAGGTTGAGATGTAAGTGGGCGGGTTGGGAGAGAGCGTTGGACCTGCGCACACCACAACACACGTCCCGCGTGGTGGTGTGTGCGGAGCATGACAAACACTTAAACCCTAAACTCTAAACCTTAAACCCTAAACCCTAAATCCTAAATCCTAAGCCCTAACCCTAACCCTAAACCTTTGCTCAGCCAACAGGGCGACCATTGTGAGGATGATTGATGTTCAGGAGCTGGTGTGCGTGTGTGTGTGTTGAAGATTGGAATGGTGGGAAAATGATGTGGAGATTTGTAGTGGCTGTGGCGAGACAGTAACTTCCGACAGGGGTATACTTGGAAATCTTCGAGAGTCTGGCGTGGCAGTGGAGCAGTGAGCGGCTAGCAGCTCATAGTGAGCAGTAGCAATCCAACGTCATCGTGAAGAAGCTCCATGATTCACTCTTTCACATGTGTAGCACACGCATTCAGAGTAGGCTTGAGGGCAGAACAGCGCAGTACACCCCAAACCATTTGTTGGGATGTTCGGCATTCATCTGTGCCGCACTCTGGCAAGACAAGGAAAACAAGGCCTTCCGTGTGGGCTTCGAAGCCTAGGCTACGTTGTTCTTGAGTATGCAATATCTTTAGCGCTTCATGCTGTAACATGGTACACTTCTTAGCGGCATCGACAGCTGCACTTGAGGAAAGAGTTGAATGTGGTGCGGCTGCCCATATCCACAGTATGGGCACAGCAACCCAAGCAACGGGTCAGGAGAGGGCTCTTGTGCACCTGCCCCCGCGCAGCAAGGTGGGCACCATCATTCTCAGAGCCTTTGGCTGATACCCTTGGAAGACCTTAGCATCCCCATATTCCGGGAGCAATCTTGTGGGGGGTGTGGGGGGGGGAGGGGTGCCTGTCATAAGGATGAGAGTATTTGGGGGTATGTTAACGGCACTGTGCCGCTTTTAGGGAAATGCCTCTTTGAGTCCTACGTCATGCACTATAGGGTTGGGATCCGGGTCTTCTACCGTCCATGACCACGATGATGCTGTTGATTTATGTGGAGCTTGGAGCAGCTTGGGATCTGGGTGAGGTGCTCACTTTGCGTTGGCACTTGTTTAGTACTTCCGAGCTGCTTTTGTACAAGCACGGCCTCGTGACTGGTGTTGCTAGGCAGAGCCAGGCACAGCAAGCTTCAAGAAGCTACTGCATAAGTGCCGAGGCTTGAGGGCAGAACGGCGCAGTACACCCCAAACCATTTGTTGGGATGTTCGGCATTCATCTGTGCCGCACTCTGGCAAAACAAGGAAATCAAGGCCTTCCGTGTGGGCTCACTACGCGAGCATAGGCTACGTTGTTCTTGAGTATGCAGCGCTTCATGCTGTAACATGGTACACTTCTTCGCGGCATCGACAGCTACTCTTGAGAAAAGAGTTGAATGTGGTGCTGCTGCTGCCCAAATCCACAGTATGGGCACAGCAACCCAAGCAACAGGTCAGGAAAGGTCTTTTGTTGACCTGCTCCCGAGCAGCAAAGTGGGCACCATCATTCTCAGAGCCTTTTGGCTGATACCCTCTGGAAGACCTTAGTATCCGCATTTTCCGGGAGCAATAAGGATGAGAGTATCTGGGGGTATGTTAACGGTACTGTGACCCTTTTTAGGGACATGCCTATTTGGGTCCTACGTCATGCACTATAGGGTTGGGATCCGGGTCTTCTACCGTCCATGACCACGATGATGCTGTTGATTTATGTGGAGCTTGGAGCAGCTTGGGATCTGGGTGAGGTGCTCACTTTGCGTTGGCACTTGTTTAGTACTTCCGAGCTGCTTTTGTACAAGCACGGCCTCGTGACTGGTGTTACTAGGCAGAGCCAGGCACAGCAAGCTTCAAGAAGCTACTGCATAAGTGCCGAGGCTTGAGGGCAGAACGGCGCAGTACACCCCAAACCATTTGTTGGGATGTTCGGCATTCATCTGTGCCGCACTCTGGCAAAACAAGGAAATCAAGGCCTTCCGTGTGGGCTCACTACGCGAGCATAGGCTACGTTGTTCTTGAGTATGCAGCGCTTCATGCTGTAACATGGTACACTTCTTCGCGGCATCGACAGCTACTCTTGAGAAAAGAGTTGAATGTGGTGCTGCTGCTGCCCAAATCCACAGTATGGGCACAGCAACCCAAGCAACAGGTCAGGAAAGGTCTTTTGTTGACCTGCTCCCGAGCAGCAAAGTGGGCACCATCATTCTCAGAGCCTTTTGGCTGATACCCTCTGGAAGACCTTAGTATCCGCATTTTCCGGGAGCAATAAGGATGAGAGTATTTGGGGGTATGTTAACGGTACTGTGCCCCTTTTGAGGGACATGCCTATTTGGTTCTACGTCATGCACTATAGGGTTGGGATCCGGGTCTTCTACCGTCCATGACCACGATGATGCTGTTGATTTATGTGGAGCTTGGAGCAGCTTGGGATCTGGGTGAGGTGCTCACTTTGCGTTGGCACTTGTTTAGTACTTCCGAGCTGCTTTTGTACAAGCACGGCCTCGTGACTGGTGTTACTAGGCAGAGCCAGGCACAGCAAGCTTCAAGAAGCTACTGCATAAGTGCCGAGGCTTGAGGGCAGAACGGCGCAGTACACCCCAAACCATTTGTTGGGATGTTCGGCATTCATCTGTGCCGCACTCTGGCAAAACAAGGAAAACAAGGCCTTCCGTGTGGGCTCACTACGCGAGCATAGGCTACGTTGTTCTTGAGTATGCAGCGCTTCATGCTGTAACATGGTACACTTCTTCGCGGCATCGACAGCTACTCTTGAGAAAAGAGTTGAATGTGGTGCTGCTGCTGCCCAAATCCACAGTATGGGCACAGCAACCCAAGCAACAGGTCAGGAAAGGGCTTTTGTTGACCTGCTCCCGAGCAGCAAAGTGGGCACCATCATTCTCAGAGCCTTTTGGCTGATACCCTCTGGAAGACCTTAGTATCCCCATTTTCCGGGAGCAATAAGGATGAGAGTATTTGGGGGTATGTTAACGGTACTGTGCCCCTTTTGAGGGACATGCCTATTTGGTTCTACGTCATGCACTATAGGGTTGGGATCCGGGTCTTCTACCGTCCATGACCACGATGATGCTGTTGATTTATGTGGAGCTTGGAGCAGCTTGGGATCTGGGTGAGGTGCTCACTTTGCGTTGGCACTTGTTTAGTACTTCCGAGCTGCTTTTGTACAAGCACGGCCTCGTGACTGGTGTTACTAGGCAGAGCCAGGCACAGCAAGCTTCAAGAAGCTACTGCATAAGTGCCGAGGCTTGAGGGCAGAACGGCGCAGTACACCCCAAACCATTTGTTGGGATGTTCGGCATTCATCTGTGCCGCACTCTGGCAAAACAAGGAAAACAAGGCCTTCCGTGTGGGCTCACTACGCGAGCATAGGCTACGTTGTTCTTGAGTATGCAGCGCTTCATGCTGTAACATGGTACACTTCTTCGCGGCATCGACAGCTGCTCTTGAGAAAAGAGTTGAATGTGGTGCTGCTGCCCAAATCCACAGCATGGGCACAGCAACCCAAGCAACAGGTCAGGAAAGGGCTTTTGTTGACCTGCTCCCGAGCAGCAAAGTGGGCACCATCATTCTCAGAGCCTTTTGGCTGATACCCTCTGGAAGACCTTAGTATCCCCATTTTCCGGGAGCAATAAGGATGAGAGTATTTGGGGGTATGTTAACGGTACTGTGCCCCTTTTGAGGGACATGCCTATTTGGTTCTACGTCATGCACTATAGGGTTGGGATCCGGGTCTTCTACCGTCCATGACCACGATGATGTGGAGCTTGGAGCAGCTTGGGATCTGGGTGAGGTGCTCACTTTGCGTTGGCACTTGTTTAGTACTTCCGAGCTGCTTTTGTACAAGCACGGCCTCGCGACTGGTGTTACTAGGCAGAGCAAGGCACAGCAAGCTTCAAGAAGCTACTGCATAAGTGCCGAGGCTTGAGCGCTTTAAGGTCAACCGGCAAGGAAAGACACGAATCTGACCCTGACCATCAACAGCTCAGGTTAAAACGAAGGCAAACCGTCCGGAAGCAGTTCCGGATCCGGATTCGGCTTGGAGGCAGCACCTAACCCTAAACCCTAAACCCTAAACCCTAAACCCTAAACCCTAAACCCTAAACCCTAAACCCTAAACCCTAAGCCCTAGATGCTGCCTTCCTGGGTGGCATCTTGTGAACTCCGCTTCTTGTGCCTCTCAAGCGCTTGCAGGGCTCAGGGCGGAGCTCTTTGGGATTGCAGGGCAAAGGAGCCCTAAACCCCAAACCCCAAACCCCAAACCCTAAACCCTAAACCCTAAACCCTAAACCCTAAACCCTAAACCCTAACAGCTCCAAGGGTGTGCAGGGCTGAGGCTTTGGGTTTAGGGCTTAGGGCTTCAGGCTCAGGGCTTAGGGCTAGGGTTTAGAGAGTGGGTATTCATAGCAAGGTTTGCAGGGAAACAGGTTTCAGATTTGTTCAGGTTCAAGGCTGGGCAAGATCGTTTATCGTTGACGGGCTTAGGGTTTAGGGTTCAGGGTTCAGGGTTTAGGGTTTAAAGTTTAGGGTTTCGGGTTTAGGGTTTCGGGTTTCGGGTTTCGACTGTAGGTGTTGGGATTGGCTGGGAATTACCACCAGTACCTCTACCACTACTTGCCGTTGCTGCTGCGATAGCGACAGCGACCACGATGACGTTGGCGACTGTTATGACGGTGCAGCCGCTGGTTTCCCCTCCTCCTCGTACAACTACTACCCACCTTCTACCCCCATAATCAACCCTATGGCCCTCTTTTAGGGGTTAGAGGGCATAATCGCCCCCCTACCACCCTCTCCCCGCCTACCCCCCTACCCCTCCCCCCTGTCCCTCCCCCCTCTGTCCCTTTGCGCGGAGACGTACGGGCCTGGAGCGTATCAACTTCAGAACCTCCGGCATCGAGAAGAGGAGGAACCTAAGAAGCTTTATGGTTTAGGGTTTAGGGTTCAGAGAAATTGTATAGGGCAAACGCTTTTGGGCATCTCCCAGGCGGGATCTTGGGGTTTTAAGTCGTTGGGCTTTTTGAAGTTTTTCAGAGTCTCCCGGAGCCTTTCGGGGCAACTTTTGGTCTTTTTCTCCTTTGGGTAACCCTAAACCCTAAACCCTAAACCCTAAACCCTAAACCCTAAACCCTAAACCCTAAACCCTAAACCCTTTTTGGGGCCTCCTAGGGCTTTGGGGGGCCTTTCGGGTGGAGGCCTCAAAACGCCTTCCGCCCGGGAGCACCAGAGGGCCGGGAACCCCATTGGCCTGACCCTTGGGAGGTCTTTGGAACTCTGAAAGCTACACAATCCCTAATCCCTAAAACCTAAACCCTGAACCCTAAACCCTAAACCCTAAACCCTAAACCCGAAACCCTAATCAATGAAAGGGCCCTCGCGCCCAAATGTCACCGCGCAACGCTAAGGGGTGGGGATGCTTCGCCTTTTGGCCCAAAGTGACCCCAGAAGTTCCCACCTATGGTGGTCTCGCTGAATGCTCCACTGCGCCCGGCTACCCCAGCAGAGGTGCGTTCGAGATTTAGGGTTTAGGGTTTAGGGTTTTGGGTTGCAGGCGCGAGCCTCCCGCCAAGGGTTTAGGGGTCAGGCGCCCTGCTTCTACTGCGACGATCGTGCGATTCCTTCGGCAAGGCCAGGGCACGCTGGCAGGCACCAGGTGACAAACATCAGAATGGCTCGAGCCGTCCTCAGAATTGAGCTTTCCATGTCAGACGATTTGCGGACCACAATGTTGCTGGTTCTGCTTTCTCTTAGAATTATGCCCAGGGAAGCACGAACAATTACCATGCAACTATTCTTGCATTTGGAAGTGAGTGCTGGATTTTCAAAACCACTTCTCTTTCAACGGGCACTCATTCAAGCAGTTCCATGTAATTTCACAAGATAAGCCTCTCGGAATCCCGGCGGGACGCAAACCTGAAACAAAAAAAGTGATGATTCCCTTGACAATCCTGTATCTAGATCCACTTCGACTGAAATCTGCTATCGTTCACAGCATATGCTGGTCACTGTACCTTGCTTCGCCAATAACCAAGGGGAAGAAAGTGAAACTGTAATATTCCTACTAAATAAGGAAACCCAAAAAGTCTAAAGTTCAACTAAAGGCGAAGGAAGGTACTGCATGCGCAGTAGAGCAAGAAATGAACAATGTAGCGTAGCTAGTAGGAAGTACCTCAAGCACACCCATGGACTCCAACAAAAAATGGGAGGCCGAGACGCATGCTGATGTCCAGGTCGTTCAATGGGCTGTTATGCTTGTCATTGAAGAACCGCGTGGTGTGGAGGAAGAGGTAGAAGCAGAAGTTCAGCAGGGACACAATCATGACGTTCAGGAACACATCGCAGATCAAGTAGCGACGCGGCGCACAGAAGCACTGGGTGAGGTAGAGAGCCTCTCTGGCAAAACAGATTAGAGCTCTAAGAGCCCTGCGTTGTCCGTTTTAACACCTTACACAAAGCAAGCCCATCTTAGGCCCACAGAAGCTCTAATATCACCTCGTTTGAACTTGAAGAGTCCGCGTTTGTCTGAGCCCGAGGCCAGTTTGGATATGCTGGGCATAGTCCCGAGCCAGATCCCCAAGAGCTGGAAAAACCAGAACACAGACCAGTAGTCTTTCTCATACCGGGCGATGTATCCTCAGCTCATCGAGGTTTCCAGAAGGAACAGGTTGTCGTTTGGATTTTCAGGCTTTGTACTCACTGTTGGCTAGCAGGGCATGTTGCTCGAACTTATTGTTCCACATTTCACTCCCTACTAACCAACAGTAGTGGTAAGACTACAGGAAAGCCGACTTGCCTGGTTCTGCTGCGCCCACGCTCAGGTCCATCGCAAGCCAGGCAGCAGGGCAAAAGATCACGAGGAAGTAGCCTAGACCGGCTTGGGATAAGGGTTGACGTGGCACCTTTAAGCCCTCTGAGAAATAATTTTAAGATTACCCGAAGCCCAATTGGACCCATGAGTAACCTTGGAATAGAAAGATTTTTTGGCTTAAAGGGGATGTTTTTTGCTAAACCCTAACAAAAGTGAATAAGGGCCTACGTACTCTGGACGCCAAATGAGGGAGATCATGATGTGCTCAAGGGTCTACCTGGCAGCTGTAGGGAAACTGGTGTTGTCCAAGCTGGTTCTCGAAAGTGGAGCGCAGGAGGGGTGCGATGAACTCCTCAAACTTCTGCACGCTTCCGAACCAGTTGCAAATACATCCCTCCACAATCTCACGGTCACAAGGCATCCGGGAGCCATCCTCTGCAATGTGTCCTCTTGTGCAGCAGTGGCACTTCGTATCCTGAAGCCGGAAGTTGAGCAACTGGTGATAAAAGGTCTGAATGGAGCGGTAGTAGGAGCGAAAGGTCGCGACGCCCCAGTAGAAGGCCAAGAAGAAGGCCGCAAACATCGCGCAGATGTTGAAGTCCACCCCAAGGAGCAAGTCATCATCAAAGTCATGGACGAAGATCCACAGCAGCATCATGCTGGGAGTTCCTCGGTAGCCCAGCAACCATCTTGATTACAATGAGGGGCACCCTTCTTTTGGGTTGGTTACCTTCTGAAGGAAACCTTGAGCCAACAAAGGGAAAAGGGTTTAGGGGTGTAGCTGGCCAGGTAGGGTTTAGGGTTTAGGGTTTAGGGTTTAGGGTTTAGGGTTTAGGGTTTAGGGTTTAGGGTTTAGGGTTTAGGGTTTAGGCGACCAAGGTTCCCACGTAGGTCGCCAAGGCCGCAGGGCCCAGGAGCGTGGGGCGCACCACGGTGCGCGGCCGAGCGCCGCAGCCATGCAAGAAGGCGGCAATCTCGAAGATGCACCAGGTCCTGTGTGGGCTACGGCCTCTACAACGGTTTAGGGTTTAGGGTTTAGGGTCTCTAGGGCAGCCCTGAATCGTTTAGGGGTGTAGGGGTGTCAGGAACTGCGGGATGTAGGGATTTAGGGTCTATAGGGTTCAGCCGGACATCGCAGACCCGAGTCGTGCAGTTGTACCTTGCACGCGGTCGTTTAGGGTTTAGGGTTTAGGGTTTAGGGTTTAGGGTTTAGGGTTTAGGGTTTAGGGTTTAGGGTTTAGGGGTCCTCTCGATGTAGCTCGGGTCCCAGAGAATGAACAACGACTTGGATCGCTTCAAGATGCCTCCTTGGCAGGCCAGCAACCAAACCCTAAACTCTACCCAAAACCCTAAACCCTAAACCCTAAAACAAAAAGGCGAAAGGGTACCACTGGGCGACGAAGCCTCCGAGGCTGACGATCCCTTCGGCCTTCTTCTTCGAGTCGACTTGGTTGATGCAACAGACGTCCAGAAAGACCTTCGCCTCGCCATGTGGTTTAGGGTTTAGGGTTTAGGGTTTAGGGTTTAGGGTTTAGGGTTTAGGGTTTAGGGTTTAGGGTTTAGGGTTTAGGGTTTAGGGTTTAGGGTTTTTAGGGTTTAGGGTTTAGGGTTTAGGGTTTAGGGTTTAGGGTTTAGGGTTTAGGGTTTAGGGTTTAGGGTTTAGGGTTTAGGGTTTAGGGTTTAGGGTTTAGGGTTTAGGGTTTAGGGTTTAGGGTCTAGGGTTTAGGGTTTAGGGCTTTAGGGCCTTTGGGGGGAAGCTACCGTGTATTTATACAAGGACCATAAGGGAATATTATCAGTGTGTATTCCATCCTTTCTATGACGGCATTTTAGCAGCAGGTTAGAAGGCAAACAAAAACATGGCGACACTCGTCAGAGGGAGCAAAGGTTCAGAATTCTGGGGGGTGGTGGGTGGGGACTCCTAAACCCTTAGCCCGAAGCCCTAAACCCTAAACCCTAAACCCTAAACCCTAAACCCTAAACCCTAAACCCTAAGCCCTAAACCCTAAACCCTAAACCCTGAACCCCAAACTGTTCAGGTGATGTCAGCTGCTTCTGATGGCTCTTTTTTCGTGCCTCCCAGTGCAGGCAAGCATCCTGGGGGCGCCAAAGGAAGAGCGCCGCCGCCGAGAAGATGACTCCAAAGACAGTGCCTTAGTTTTAGGGTTTAGGGTTTAGGGTTTAGGGTTTAGGGTTTAGGGTTTAGGGTTCAGGGTTTAGGGTTTGGGGTTTAGGGTTTAGGGTTTAGGGTTCAGGGGTTCTTAGTTGCTGAGTTCATAAGCCCCCCCCCCCCCGAAAGTGTACTCTGTCAATTCTATAGGGGGCTAAAGTATCCCAAAAAGCGTAAAGTGTGCTCACTCAGCTACTAAGGTGCACCAGAAGGGGATGTGGGAGAAAGGGAGGACTTTGATCGGGAGGACGCCCGCTCGCATCAGAAAAGCAGCCAGAAGAGCTCCCAACGTACCTTGAGGCACGCGGCCGGGCGTGAAGAAGAAAGAGCTTTTTTGAGGGAGAAATGAGCCTAAACCCAAATTCATTTCACCCCCTAAACCCTAAACCCTAAACCCCAAACCCTAAACCCTGAACCCTAAACCCTAAACCCCAAACCCTAACCCTAAACCGTAAGCCCTAAGCCCTAAACCCAAATTCATTTCACCCTTGCGAGATCCAAGTCCCTAAACCCTGAACTCAACCCTGAGCTCTGCATCGCAAGGTGCCCAGATGCTCTACTAGTCCATCTCAGGGTTTAGGGTTTAGGGTTTAGGGCTTAGGGTTTAGGGTTTAGGGTTCACAAACCTCACAAAACCAGCAAGTATACAAGGCAGCAAGACCACCCCGTCCGAGCCTGCGATGCTGCTTGCCAAGCCGTTCTTCAAGAAAAGCAGGCAAAAAACCTTCCTCAGCACAAAGGCCCTAAACCCTAACCCTAAACCCTAAACCCTAAACCCTAAATCCTAAACCCTACCCCCTAAACATGCATTTTCGGCGGTGGGCATCTTCGATTCTGCATTCTCGGTACAGTACCACAATTTAGGGCTACAAGAACTAGGTCTATCTAATGAAAATCATCATTTCCTTGTCGTCCCTAGACAACTTGCCGCGGACTCCAATACCCCATAAGTTTTCTTTAAGTTATGTTAGCATCCCAGGTACACATTTTCGAGAAGTTTGCAATTACTACAGAACACTGACCTTAGCATTCCTAGACCCCAATCGCTACATATAACCAACCTCGGCTGTACATGTGTTTCCTAAGTAAGGGGCCCCTGAGACACTACTGGAGTCTTGAGCTCCTCAAAGTCCGAAGCCAAAGCTTCCGATATGGTTTCAGCTGCCAGGAGTGGGACCAGAACTCATCAATCTTCTCCGTCACCTGGACTTCTAAGATTCTCAGCCCTGGCGGGAACTCTAAACCGTAAACCCTAAAACCTTAACCTGAAAGCCTTAGGACTGATTCGCAGAACGCCTCAGAAGAGGGCGACTGCCGCTTAGTCTTATCTAGGGGGCTAGACGAACCCCCAAGAAGGGTTATTATTATAACTATTATTACTACTATTATAATTATTGTGATTATTATGATTATTACTATTATTATTAGTAGAAGTAGTAGTAGTAGAAGTAGCAGTAGCGGTAGCAGTAGCAGTAGCATAGCAGTACGAGTAGTAGTAGTAGTAGTAGTAGTAGTAGTAGTAGTAGTAGTAGTAGTAGTAGTAGTAGTAGTAGTAGTAGTAGTAGTAGTAGTAGTAGTAGTAGTCGTAGTAGTCGTAGTCGTAGTAGTAGTAGTAGCAGGAGTAGCAGGAGTAGCAGTAGGAGTAGCAGCAGCAGCAGCAGCAGCAGCAGCAGGAGGAGGAGGAGGAGGAGGAGGAGGAGGAGGAGGAGGAGGAGGAGGAGGAGGAGGAGTAGTAGTAGTAGTAGTGGTAGTAGTAGTAGTAGTAGTAGTAGTAGTAGTAGTAGTAGTAGTAGTAGTAGTAGTCGTAGTAGTAGCAGTAGCAGTAGCAGTAGCAGTAGCAGTAGCAGTAGCAGTAGCAGTAGCAGTAGCAGCAGCAGTAGCGGTAGGAGTAGCAGTAGCAGCAGCAATAGCAGCAGCAGCAATAGTAGCAGCAGCAATAGAAGCAGCAGCAGCAGCAGCGGCGGCGGCAGCGGCGGCGGCAGTGGTGGCCGGTGGCGGCGGCGGCGGGCGGCGGCGGGCGGCGGCAGGCGTCGTCGTCGTCGTGGTCGTCGTCGTCGTCGTCGCAGTCATAGTAGTAGTGGTTCATGTTGCGTCCCCAAGCCCAAGGCCGGCTTGTACCGACACTTGCAGCCAGGCCCCTTAACACCAAGGGAACCGAATCCCTAAGCCCTAAACCCTAGACCCTGAACCTTCAACCGCAATCCTAAACCCTAACCTTGAACCCTAAACCTAAACCCTAAACCCTAGACCCTAAACCCTAAACCCTAGCCCTAAACCCTAAACCCTAGCCCTAAACCCTAAACCTGAACCCTAAACCCTAGGCCCTAAACCCTAAACCCTAAACCCTGGCACCTTGCTCTTCACGTGGAGTCTTCGCAGCCTTCCAACATCGGATCCGCCACGGAGTGCAGCGCCCAGGTACTGTGCGCGGCGTGCGCTGTTACACAACACCCTGGTATGAACTGAACAAGGATTTCGGGTTTAAGGTTTAGGGTTTAGGTTTAGGGTTTAGGGCTTAGGGTCTAGGGTTTTGGGTACCCTGCTGTGAAAATGAACCTGCTGCTACATGGGGACCTAAACAAGATTCTTACTTTCCGCAGTTTGGAGAGATTCTGCACAGACAATTTCTACTTTGCGGGGCAATCCCCAAAGCCCACACCATAAACCAAGAGCCCTAAACCGGAGCCCGAAAACCGGGGATTCCAAGAATTAGACCCCCCAACCCAAAAAAACACAACACCGAACAAAAAACCAAACAAGCAAAACCCTAAGGAACATCCCTAAACCCTAAATCCTATACCCTAAACCCTAAACCCTAAACCCAAGGTCGTCCTGCAGGGCCTGGTATGCTGCGATGGCTCTCACCAAATCAGGATGTATCTGTCAGAGTCTCACGGGCCTAAACCCTAAACCCTAAACCCTAAACCCTAAACCCTAAACCCTAAACCCTAAACCCTAAACCCTAAACCCTGACAGCGTTTCGGACTTAGGAAGCCTAGGGTTTGGAATTTTGTGGTTTAGGTTTAGGGCTTTGAGTTGGGGGCTTAGAAAGGGTTTAACGGTTTAGGGTTTAGGGTTTGGGGTTTGGGGTTTGGGGTTTGGGGCTTGGGGTCTAGGGTGAGCCACTCTCAACTGTTCAGGGCGGTCAGTGCTGCTGCCTCAGCGTGGATTCGCAAAGAAGGCTGTTGTCTTCACAAGCGCCCAGGCAAGCCCCCACCCCCCACCCCCCACAACAAAAAAGAACCTACCCCTCGAAACTCTTCTACCGCAAAAGCCCTAAGCAGCCTAACTTGAAAAAAAACAGAAAGACCCATCAAAGCCACTCTGAATCCTGAACCCTGAACCCTGAACCCTGAACCCTGAACCCTGAACCCTAAACCCTAAACCCTAAACCCTAAACCCTAAACCCTCGC